AAAAAAAAAATCCTCCCTGTCGGGGATTTGAACCGCAGACTCCAGTGTGACAGAACTGTGCTACTTGCTTCTCTGCTCTCAAATCATTGTATAAATGAATCATCTTTGACAGCGTAGAAGAGTTGTTCCGTCACTGGGGCCTCACTCAGTAAGTTTATTTTGGGCTAAAACATAGGGCACATTTGATTCGTTGTGATCTTGGAGTGATCTTTCTTCTGGTGATTGCATACCTGCCAACCTGAACGGTCAATTTAAGCGTTTGTGTCCATTTTGGGTTGGTTTTTTTTTTTTGCATAAAAATAAATATTTCCTGAAAACCCTATAATTCAGTTTTATTTTGTTTTTGTTTTTTTTATAGCTGGAAGAGAGACAAAAACCAAAGAAATCACTTTCCGATCTCCGCTGTTCATTTTTTCTTTGTTTTGGTTTATTCATGTTAGAAAACATACACATTTTATGGAATCAAATGTAAATCTCTCTATTATAGCTATATCACAGACATCTCCTGATTACCACAATGTACAGAGCCAGCTTTGTAAACATGCAACAAAAATGTGTTTGTTTTTTTTCAATAGAGACAGATAAAATGACACAACCCAGTTGGAGGAAGAGGATGAGGAGGTTCAACGGTAGGTGAAGTATAAGAAGAATTACGATCGTGATAATGATGGGAGGGCGAATGAGCGCAGGTTGGACGAATCCTGTTATCATGGCAGGGTGAACGTGAAGACCGAAGGTAAATGTCTGGAGTCAATATTTTATCAAGTCAAAGAGTCTTTACTGATATTTTGGGAGTTAAAGATATTCACTGGGTGATATTCTATATCTCAGGATAGGAACTACTACAAAGGACTAGGTGTTATTTCACAGCAAGGGCTAAGAGCTTAAACCAGTGATAACGTAGTGACAGGAACTATCTGTTATACCAGCCCAGCCAACGTTTTCTGTACCATGGACCGGTCGACTGGTACCAGCCGTTATTGCGAACCAGTATTACCACTATCATTAAATTTCCAAAATAAAACATATTTTATATGAGACTTCTATATGGACTTTATCAAATGCTTTTTAAACTGATGCGGGCCATACAAAAGGACTTGGTGGGCCACATCTGTCTCCCGGGCCTTGAGTTTGACACGTGCCTTAGTTAAGCGGTACTCAACCTTTTTCGTACCATGGACCGGTCGACTGGTTTCGGCTATTACTGCGGACCACTAATACCGCTCCATCCTTAAAGGATCATTCAATTTTCAAAATAAAAGACTTTTGACCTCTGTTAGTATCAGAGTCTGAATGACCTGTTGTTTTGAAACATTGTCAGATTATCTTTGAATGAAAAAAGTAAAGGGATATGACTGGATTCTTTTGGAATGAAGTTAATTTTTTCACAGTGTCCCACTGTCGCCCAGTAGAAAATTACCTACGGACCAGCAACGATCCCCGGACCGGGGGTTGGGAACCTTGTGTTACGCTACAATTTATGCTTTTAGCTGCAGAACACCATCTGTTTGTAAAGACTTAGGTGATAAGTGATTTCCTACATGTAAAATGGAATCTAGCACTTTGTAAATAGTAAATGTTAAATTAACATTATTTCGCTGTGAATAATAACAACACATGACAAATATCTAGAACAAGAACAAATGCCTCCGTTAGCGGTTAGCATGGCTTATCACTTAGAGGACAGTTAAATCTTGTCGTGTTTCCTTTAATAGCTTCTCAAAGGCCTGTGTTTTTCCAGTTTTGTAATGCCGTGAACAGGGAGCAGAAACCCTCTCTGTGTTAATCAATAACTGCCTCCCCAGTGATTATTGGACCGTGTTTATCATCTTTATCTCTACTGTACAGGGGAACTAAAGAAATAATGAGGTGGTTATGATAAAAAAATGTCCTGACCAGCCTTGCCTTCCCGATGCAGTACTGTGATTGATGTGCTCGCTACTATTTCATAATCTTTTTTTTTTTTTTCGCTCCCTCCTTTTCTCCCTTCCTCTTCCTGTGTCCAGTTCATTGCATTATCAACCCCACAGGGGTATGTTCCAACGCCTGCGTTAAAGTCAAAGAGAAAAAAACAAAATGGCAACATGCACTGAACCGGGACAGATCAGACTGAGGTACTCGTGGTTCACTTCACCCTCACGCAGCAGTGTTTTCACTTCAGAAAAACAAAAGCACATATTTAGTGGTTTTTTTCATTTCAAGAGAAAAAAAAAGAGAGAGAGAGAGAGTGAGAGAGAGAGAGAGAGCAGTGTTGGAGTCGTCACAGCAAAGACTCAAACCTGTGACCTTTTGCTTTAAATACTAGAAGAATGGTTCGCCTCCACATTAATGGGATTCCAGGGCTGTGTTTGTGACTTTGGGGTCAGATATGATCCTCATTTAGAACTTGGACATATTTTTTGGCAGACATAGCAACGGGATCTAGTAACGGGACGAAGACCGAAGAACACTTTCATTGAACGTTTAAACAAAATCTGTAGTCGATTTTTCTTGCAGGTCAAAGAAGAAGAAGCCGTCTTTTTGGATACTGGATCGAGAAAGGTAACAAAGTGCCTGGGAATTCTGACCCTGAGTGAAACCATTAGCAGCTACTGGTTGGTCCACTTCCTGTTGAGTACTAGCGGGGGGACAACAGTGACGTCAGACACAGAGAATGAGTAACCAGCTGATTCTCCGAAGCCTTGACGCGGGAAAAATAAGTCCTTTTCTTTTAAATGTGAAACTTTTTGACCAAATGACGTGAAGTGGAAGTTGTTTTTAAGTCTTTTCAATAACATTTTCCTTTAGGTTCCTTTTTAAACAGACGGGAAGGATCATTACAGAGCTTAAGATAGTTGGTCAGATTCTCAGAACAATATGATTCTCAGAGTTCCTTGTACTAAACCGTAGACTCTTTAGGTCCCTCTCTCACTGCGTTCTTACAGCCGTAGAGCCACTTTATGACACGGGCGTTCCTCTCAATGATGGACACGCCGGACGGCAGCTGTTCTGCCAGTTCCTCCTCGAACAGTCCATCCCCAGAATGTCTGGAGAACTCGCTAACCTCCGAGCCCAAGCCTGCGTCTCCACCTACGCTGCGGAGAGCGAGCGATAGAGTGTCTATCGAGCTAGCTCCGGAGAGGAAGTTCTCCCGGCCCAGGCGTTCGACCATGTCCATATCCAGACCACAGAAATCAAAGAAGTGTTCCTTTTGCGATAAAGCTACGGTGTAGTGCAAATGCAGGTCCGACATGGAACGACGAAGCTCCCCGAATGGTCTTCTTGGTCCTGGAGGAGGAGACGCCCTTTTCCAAGGGTCATTCTCGTCAGTAGTGTGAATGATCTGTTTTTCCTTGGTGTTGTTAGGCTCTTGCCTGATACCGTTTGTACATCCATTTTTAATCCTTTCAAGGGTACAGTTAAATCCAGGAGTGGAAAAAGTGTTGTGCTCCTGATCGGTTTTACTCGATCGTCTACTCTGTACGAAACCGTCCGTCGTGTCCTTGTCGTTGGTCCATGACATGCGGGAGTCTTCATCCTGTGACGGCGCCTTTTCTTCACCAATCACCATCTTCTGAATCCTTTCGTTCTTCTCCCTCATGGATCCTTGAAAGAGGCGACGGACAAAGTTGTATCCCTTCAGCTCTGCGTTGTTGTTGTCCTCTTCGGCAGAACCGGGGGTTTTAAACTCTTTCTTCTGTATGTACATGACAAGGGAGTCTGGTCTCAGCATACGTTTGCCCGTGCTCCTCCTAAGCACCGGAGCGCTGTGAGGAGCCACAAAGGTTCTCGCACAAGGAGTCCTGGGACTGGAAGGTAGTGAGTTCTTCATGTTGCTACTGTGGGTGTCGAGTGAGGTCCGCCTGTTCTCCTTTCTGGAGTCCTCATTTTCATTCTCATCCCGCGAAGTGACGGAGCCGGAGATGGTGGAAAAGGGAGTGTCGAGTGATCCATGCAGAGAGAACACATTTCGACGAAGTTGCGGTGGTGGTGTGGCGCAGGGAACCAGGACCGGGTCCTGCTTGGTGTTGATGACCTTCTGGCTCTTCACGTACTTTGCCTTGTCGGCCTCCAACCTTTCCACCGCACTGACGGAGCGGCCATGGCCGCCTCCATCGATCTGCCGGCGAAGGTAGTCGGGGCCCTTGTTGAGGAGCCTCAGTGGAGATGGAGATCCAATCGGAGTAAGGGGCTTCATGCTGACTCAGCGATGTAGGAAAGGCATCAAAACTGTCCCAGCAGTTTCTACCGAGATGGAGCTGTTGGAGAAACGCCACCGGGGCCTTTTTTTTTTTGGTTTCGACAGTCTGCCCTGGGTTAAAAGATGAATTTGACGAACCCACAGAATTCAAATTTTGTTGTGATTTTCTCTTCTTTGTTTTCTGTGGATTTCTGCAGTCCAGCTCTGCCTTTCTAACACCAGACGATCTGGCGCACACAGCATTTACTGAGACATGTGGAAAGAAAGGTTGGCCGCCTGTGAAGTGCTTTTCCTGTCAGCCAAAACGCCGCCCAAATCCGATGCCCTCCTCCGCCCTCAGTCCTGGGTCAAAAATAGCACTTGAAAGGGTTTTCTCTTTCCTCCCCCCACTTTTGACTTCCTTCTCACTCTTTTTTATCTCCCAATGACACCCTTCACTGTTGGTCTTCGCACTGACAGCTGCCAGCAGAATTTGGATGTAATGGCCTCAAATATTTGTTCTGTGCTTGCAGCCTGAGGGACGGCGGGTCAGGGCTTTTTATTGTGCGGTGAACCCAACGTGGTTGACTTGACCTGTGGGTGGCCAGCACTGACGCTCAGGGTTTGTTGATGGACGGATGAAGGTGGGGATGTAGACCTTGTTCTTGTCCTTACCTCACATGGGTGGAAACCTGACCGAAAAACAGATAAAAAGTGTTTTTAGATTGAGACAGAAAGAGAAACACTTCTTTTTAAAAGCTAGCCCCTGGTAAATTGAATCTGGGTTATTCCTAGGGCAAAGTTTACAGTACATTTTGTTGAGTTCAACCAATAGAATTTGATTTTAAATTTTACAATTATCATACAATATGTATGGGAACTTTTTGCCCTTCTTTATGGCTCCCAGGTGTAAGTCAGACTCTTCTGATTTATGTTTTTATGTCCTAGATCAGGGGTGTCAACCCCATTTTCACCAGGGTTTCTGCAAATGATTATTATTTATTCAAGTTACAAATATTTTAATTGCTGTGTAATAAAACAAAATATTTTCTTTTATCATGACATATCGGGCCAAATTTGGACCCCGGGCCTTGAGTTTGACACACGTGTCCTAGATTATGATGTTACCACTGTGTTAGCGTAGCTGAGGGACATACAGTAGGTACTGATGTACAGTATGTGAATTCCAAACCCGTGTATAGAATTTTTGTCAGGCTCTCACTTCTACACTTGTCTCGAGGGACATTTTGCAAATCATCCGTTCCAAAGTTCTTTCCTGGAGTAAAAGCACCAGGAAGACTGACAAATGAACGTGTCACGGCTTTAAAAACAGCCCATTTGCAAAAGTAAACCACCCCTTTAATGTAACTTAATTGTTATCTTTCCTGTACAGTAAGGACTTAATGAAAGACCAAGAGAAACAATGCATTTCCGAGCAGACAGGATGCTGACAGTGTCTGCGTCCATTTAGTCCGATAGCGTTCATACGTTACGTCGCTGACGTCTAACTAAAAAATAAAAAAAAATAAAAAAAATGTTATTGACACTGATAAAACAGTCTTAGATATTTCCCACCATCACAGCTGTTTCACCGACTGGAGAGGAGACTGTCACGTCTTCATTTACTGAGGAACGTGAGCAGCTCCTGAGGCTGACCTCTGTTGAAGCTTCAAACTCACGTCTGAAACTGAACACTGTACTGCAGCCTCCTGTACAACACACACACACACACACACACACACACAACCGTGCACATGCACGACACACACTGACTGTCTGGAGGTAATAACTTTTTCATTGTCGCACTTTAACGGCTTGTTTTTCACTTTACAACCACAACTAAAATGTATAAGGATAAATACAGAAGTTTTATGTGACGCTTTGAAATCCTCACGTTTAGGATTTAATGCACTTATAAAAAAAAAAATACATTTATAAACTGTTAGTTAAGAAAATGAAATTAAAATCCATACAGGCTGCTTTTATGGATTTATTTTACTTTATATTTACTGGTTTTTTTTTTGTCTGTTTTTTTGTTGATTTGCTGCTGATTTTGGGCTTCACATTTTACCTTATTTTTGTTTGTTTGTTTTTTCGTTTTTTTAAATTATTTTACACTATCCAAATAAAATACAATAAAATTATTATGTATTTTTTAATATTTTACAATTTTGGTTGCCTAGCAGCTAAATGTTCGTATTTTGTTTGTGAGCTACAGGAGCGTAGCTGGACATTTTTATAGAGATATTTGCAAAGATTAGCCATTGTTTCAAAGCGGCATTAATAGGCATGGTCACATGGGATTTTAAGGGACTATTTCACATGTTTCTGCTGCTAATTCTCGACTCTGAGGAGTATATATATGTGATCATTTTCAAGAGCTGCTAATTCTCGACTCTGAGGAGTATGTGATCATTTTGAAGGCCTTGGAAGGTCAAGGGGACGGCCAGTGTCTATAAGCGGAGACGCTCCAGTCCAGCAAGTATTTATATCTGGTAAACGTCCACAGTTATCATGTTTCTATGCATTTGTCTGTGTATGTATACTCTACATGTCACTGTGCAGAGTTTAAAGGGTCTCCTTTGTGTTCTGCACCTACAGGGACTCCAGGTGTGGGTGGGTGGACGGGGGCTTGTGAGAATAGTTTTAAAGAAGTCAACCTCGCTGAGATTAGACAGATACAGACCTCACTATTCCCCTCAGGCTGTTTGGAAATCTGTTTTTGTTTACATTCAAAAAGGGAGGAACAAAAAGTATATTAGTATCAGGAGAGTTGACCAAGAACTTTCACAACTTTTGTGTCCGCATAAAGATTTTGCTCTTTGTGCTCCTTACTCCTTACAGATGTACCGTATCAAAACATGGACTAATTCCTCAACCCAATACTCCGCAATGGCTTTACACTTTAAAGAACTGTGCGATGGGTAGCACATATTAGCATATAAGTGGTTACAAACTACATCAGTTTAACATCCTTAAATAAATCATCAGAAAATTAGCTATATCGCTGCATATGCTAATGATTCTCTTTGGTTTTGTCTCTCTTTTTGTTTTGTTAAGAATCTAAAAGGGTTTTTTTATTGAAAGATAGAAATGGGTGACACTTTGTTTACTGGAATCAGTTATATATTTCCTAATGTAATGCATGAAATGATATGAAAGCTCTGCTTACTTTCTGTTGTTTTTTAATATTATTTTCTTCATGAATCAATCAATAAAAGGGAAATAAATCTGGGTTTAATTATTATCCCGCTTGGTTGTCTCACTTGGGTTTGGATTATTATCCCGCTTGGTTGTCTCACTTTGGTTTGGAAATCTAGATATCTAGCTAGCTAGATATCTGGATATAGAGATATACAGATGGATGGATAGATGGATAGATGGATAGATAGATAGATAGATAGATAGACAGATAGATAGACAGTCAGATAGATAGATAGATAGACAGATAGATAGACAGTCAGATAGATAGATAGATAGACAGATAGATAGACAGACAGATAGATAGATAGATAGACAGATAGATAGACAGACAGATAGATAGATATTAATCCCTCTGGAGTTACAACCATGAACACAAACAAGTTTAAAAACGTTTCTATAAAGTTGTAAACAGCTAGATAGATAGATAGATAGATAGATACATATTAATCCCTCTGGAGTTACAAACAAGTTAAAAAACTTTTCTATAAAGTTGTAAACAGTTAAACACAGGAGACCTGAAATAGGAACTGTGCCATACATTGTGTGTCAAAAAACACAGACCACTAAGATAATAACTCAATAACTATATCCTGTGGGAACAGATTGTTCCGGAAGAAAGGTGTCTGAATAATATATATATCCTATACTGTAACCCTCACCCCAGGTCCCTCCTCATTTTTCCACCCTTTTTCTCTCTTTTATAATCCCTGCCCTCTGACCTTCCTCTCCCTCCTCCACACCTGTTGTCAGACGTTGTCCCGGGAATGTTGACTTAAACAATGCTGGACTTTCCCGAACTCTGACATCTGGAAAAACGTAGTAAGCGGCTGTCTCCCTCACTTGTGGGTTAATTTATAGTTCCGTGTGGTTTGACGAGCCTGTTCTATGAGGGCTGTGTGTAGAATGAACGAAAGTCAAGTAAAAATAGGTTTCACCTTCTGGGGAGTTCAGTGGCAGCAGAGGTCAAGTGAACGCCGGGCCCTAAAGAAAACACATTTGTCCTGTATTTACAAAACGTTTGCTCTGACGGAATTCTCTCTAGGACACGTTGGGTGTATGTTATTTTGCTGCTTCACTCTCTTTTCAGTGCAAAAACATACAAACGCTTGAATCATAACAGGCCTCCAGCCACTAGGTGGCAGCAACTCATACAGTGGTTATCATACAGATACAAATATATACTGTATCCTATTAGGTTCTCAATAGTATTTCAATTCACGGGGGTGTGGGTCTGGGGGGAGAGGGGAGGCAAAATGATTGAGAACCACCGACATAGATAGTCACCGCATACCTAGAATATATATGGGACCAAATTTTTGCAGATTTTCCGAACACTTAATTTCTGATTCTGATATCAACCGATACTGATGTACATTTCCCCCTAAAACTGCGGTAAACATATCGGGACCCAATCAGCCAGGGGTGTCAAACATACTAGTGATCATCATGCTAGGGGGGTTCAATCCAGCTAACGATAAGGATTCTTGCAGATATTACATAATGATGCTAATATCGGGCTGATAATATCGGTCGGCTGACGTCCCTCCTTTTTAGGATTTGTTCTTTACTGACACTTTTGACCATTATTTTACATAAACAAACACACGGTCAAAATCACTAACCCAAAGATCAGCAGATAAAAGCGTGAGAACACTTACGCTACAACACAATAGCATTAGCTCCATTGAAGAGAATTAGTCAAATTAGCCAGCACCACTTCTCCCCTGTCATCTGGAGGCCTGTGAAACCTTTTAAGGCTGCAGGCCTTTTCTTCTATATCTTCTTCATCTTTCACTGCAGGTCATCATTAACCTGTAAGGCCTCTCCTCTCTCTCATTAACACTGGGAACATACACCCAAACATGCACCGCCCCCTTCCTCACAAACACCGAAGTGCGTCTCCTGTAACAGCCCAGGGCTCCTCTCATGTCTCCTCCTGTTTCCCTTCCATTCTCACACTAGTCCTCACTTCCTGTCACCTTCACACAGTATCTATTAGCTTTTGATTAGCCTATTTTTTTTGACTACCTCTTGGTTTTAATCTTAGAGTTTTTATCATTTATTGGTAACATCTGAACTGACAAGATTATATAATATATTGGTTATTTTATTATCCTAATGTAAACCAATGTGCTACTAAAACATGACCTAAAGATTAGCAAATTTTTGCTTATATATATGTGGTTGCATCAAAGCTTTCAAAATAAAATTACCTATATTATAAAATATACGGTAGTTTAGACTGCACATTTCTACTCAGGTTTTGCCAAGGTTGATTAAGTACATAACAGAAATATTTAAGGCTCACTGTGTATTTATATTTATAGTCAGTGTATATTTATATTTTCATATGTATATTCATTGTATATTGTTTAGAAGAATTTATTATTATTTATGTATTTTCGTATTCTGTATGTTTACTGTCGCTTGATTGTTGATTGACCGACTCAAATTGTGTCTGCTAAATGTATTGTAATGTATTGTAATA